TTTAATCTTGGAGGAATACATGGTGATATTTGAAGAATTATCTCCAAATGTTTTTGTCATTGATTGTGATTTGGTGGGAATTTGGCCGTAAAAAGCCTATCCATTAAACACAAAAATTTAGCTTCGAGGCTGCCTCCAACAATCTCTGAGCTTTGTGGGATAATCATGTCAATGGCGATAACTGTTCAACCTCTCTGTGTTCCTCGTAATTCTCTCCTTCCTTCTCTTCAATGCCTTCTCTACCTGCCAGTTTTTTCTTCTTTGACTCTCTGCTTTTAAATCCATTTGAAAGCTCCCATAAGAAAGGGGTTATGTGAATTCACTAAATTCTCATTCGATCTTAAACAGTTTTGTGGAAAGAAAAAGTGAGTTTTGGTGTGTGAATGTAAAATTGGGTCAAGGGTTTCGTCCCATGCTCTTCTCACTGTGTTGTTTCTCTATATTGGAAATCTGTTTATGACATTTTAACTGCTTGCTGTATGTAGGAAGTGGTGGAATTTCTGGAACTAGAAGCATATGCAAGAAGAATCGTCGTTGGGTTGATTTCAATTTGCGGAATGGATTGGGTTTATGGAGAAAACATCTAGTGAAACCCAACAACATTTGTTGCTCATTTAGTACAGAGAAAGATCCTCTCTTACCTTCTATCCAACAATTAACCGATGCTCGTCTCATTTACAGTGTATCTGCAGCACTGGGTCATAACAAGGTTTCTACTTTCTATGTTTGCTTGTTTCTTCTGAATCCTTTCTTGCGCATTCTTTAAAGTATTCTCTTTTTTGCTCTCAGGAATCACATCCGGAATGCAGCGCAAGAGTACCTGCCATTGTTACAGCTCTCGAAAAGAATGAGCTCACTCCCAAGGCATGAAATGACCCCGTCTCTATCGTTTTAAGTTACCTTAGCTTGAAATTTTGTAGGATTGATCTTCCATTTGTCTGTAGTTAAGTTCGACATAGGATCTGTCTATGAATTCTCATATGTGAATTTCTGTATTTCAGTTCCGTGGCTCAGAGATTCTTGAACTCGCAAATTTCAAGACTGCAACTATAGATGACATTGCAAATGTTCATGAAAAGGCTTATGTCTTAGGCCTTGAGAAGGTTATTTACTTTCCTCATGTTATATTTTTAACATATATTGCACAACTTTTGTTTCATAAGTAACCAATACATTTGACACATAATAGCAAAGTAAGTTGGTATGATGAAGAATTAGAGTATGAATTTATCTGACCAGTACAAAGGCATTCTTAGTTTAGGCCATGGATGAAGCTTCAGATTCGGGACTGATTTTCATCGAAGGTTCTGGACCAACATATGCCACTTCAACAGTAAGTGTGTCTGCTTATATATCGGTTTACATCTCCAAGAAACCATTTTTTCCTTGCCTAAACCTCTTCTCCTACCTCTGTGTCAGACATTCGAAGATTCACTTATCGCAGCAGGAGCTGGAATGGCTTTAGTTGACTCAGTGGTGATGTCTCGTCTCACCATGTTAGTCTGCTTACTGGTTTAGATTCTTTTTGTTGGAAATGGTTATAGATTTCTTAGCTACTCGATGATTATTTGTTTCAGATTGCGGCATCCAGAAACAGTCTGGATCCTCCCACTGGTTTTGCATTGATAAGGCCTCCAGGACACCACGCCGTGCCAAAAGGTCCAATGGGGTTCTGCGTTTTTGGTAATGTGGCAATCGCAGCTCGTCATGCCCAGCGTGTACATGGTCTGAAGCGCGTCTTCATAATTGACTTCGATGTTCACCACGGGAATGGCACAAATGATGCATTTTCTGAGGATCCTGATATATTCTTCTTGTCAACTCATCAGGTAATTCAATAACACATGATTTTCACCAAAAGCTTTAAGATCATTGATTGCATCACTATATTGTAATAAGCGCAGGATGGAACCTACCCTGGAACAGGGAAAATCAGTGACATAGGTAAAGGAAAAGGTGAAGGTACCACTCTGAATTTACCATTACCTGGAGGATCAGGTGATATTGCAATGAGAACTGTTTTTGAAGAAATCATTGTCCCATGTGCTCAACGTTTCAAGCCAGATCTTATTCTTGTTTCTGCTGGGTGAGTAGTAACCATGGAAAAAAGTTTTTCGGTTATCATTGCATTGTATCTCATCTTTTAACAAAATATTCTGCCTCACTGCTGCATCTGCTTAAGGTATGATGCTCATGTCTTGGATCCACTAGCGAATCTACAGTTCACGACGGGAACTTACTACTCATTGGCGAGAGATATAAAGCGGTTAGCGAAAGAAGTATGCGGAGGACGATGTGTGTTTTTCTTGGAAGGAGGATACAATCTTGAATCACTTTCATCATCTGTGGCAGACTCGTTTAGAGCATTGCTTGGGGAAGAAAGTTTAGCATCAGAGTTTGATAATCCAGCTTACTTGTATGATGAACCAATGAGAAAGGTTAGAGATGCAATTGATAGAGCCAAAAGCATTCATTGCTTATAAAGAGAAGGATTTGTTTGAGATGTTCTGCGTTTTAGTCTTCTTAAGCTGTCTACATATCCCATATCTCTTGTTTCTTTTTGTAAAGCTGTTGGGAGTATATATAGCTTACAATAAGTGATTTGCATTTCTTTTCTTTAAAACAAAAAAAAATGATTTGCATTTCGTGAAGCAGAAAATGAAAACAACTTGAGAGTTTTCTTTTTAATACGTGTGGTGTGAACATTAGTTATTTACGTGTGACTGGTAATTAGTTATACATAGAGGAAAAGAAAATGGTAAACAGTTTTTTTTTTATAATTTCACCGAATAAGAAAAATAGAAAGAAAACGAAAATCTTCTTAATTCTTCTGGAAAGGCAAATTACAAACAGAAAAAAATCCGACTTGTTCATGCAAGTGAAAAAAATTTTCTCCCATTCTACAATTTAATTTTTTACTGATGTATTCCACTTATATTTTTCTTTTTCTCCAATTTTAGTACTAATTACACTCGTAGTTAGTATAAAAATGATTTTAAGTGGATATATAATAGGGTGTGATTGGTTGGATTTTAAAAAAATTTTACAACCCTTTAAAACTTCTTTACACTATTTGCTTACTAATTTGACTTTAAAAAATTCAGCGGATCCTATATAAAGTTACAGCTTACAGCCTTGATTTTTTTTGTTTGTTCATGTTTTAAATTTTTCTCCTAAAACAATTATTTTATAGTTTTAAAAGTTGTAGGATTTCTTACACCAACTTTC